CAAGACAGGTGCCACTGTCTCCCTACGCCAAGGGGGGCATTCTCCAGCCACTTCTGCATCATGGCCCTCCCTTGGACTACAACTGGACTCCCCCAAAACATGCATGAAGCCCGGAGGAGTGCCCTTACTTTCCCCTCAAACCAGGCCCGTTTCTCTTCTCTTTCCTACTAGAGGAAGATAATATCTGGACTAGTGACTTCCCTCACCTCACTCCTTGTCAAGCTGCTTCCTCCTCGCATTCTTCGCCTTCTTCCTCCCTGCCTCTCCATCCAGCTTCCCATCTGCCTCATCTCACTGTTTTTTGTTTTTGTTTTGTCTGTTCACCTTTCACAATACCATCCACTCCGAGCCGGGTTGCTGCACCGGCCAACACAGAATCCGCGTCGGTTGTGCTCCAGGTCTCCCTTGGATCCGGGTCCTGCCTAATTTACCAGAGACTACAAATCCCAGGATGCCCCGCTACCCCGTGACCTACTGGAAAATAAAGAGCCTTCTCTCGGCGGCGGGGGCGCTGTGCATCTGCTGAGTGACGCGAGGCGCCGGGAGCAGGGCCTAGCCGAGTTTCCTCGGACGCGACCACTGGCCCCGCGTGCGGGGAGGAGCCGGGAAGGCCGCCGCGCCCCGGGGCGCCGCCACCGCGGCCAGGCAACCGCAGCCGGCTGGGGGTCTCCAGCCGTCGTGCCTGCAGCTACCGACACTGGCAAAGGCCGGGGGCCGGCGCCTGGCCCAGCCGCGCTGCCCCAGGTGCCGCCGCCGCGCCCCTCGCGCGGGCGCCCAGGTTCAAAGTCCTGAGACTTGGAGCGCGCGCGAGAAGGGGGTTGGAGATGATGAGTCAGAGGCGCCGGCCCTCCTCGCCCCCTCCCCCCGGGCCGGGCGCTGGAGAGAACAGGCTGCCTGGGCAGGCGTGGGGTACCGACCTAAGACTTTCCCGCCTCCAGCGAGCACGCTGGTGGACCGAGCCCGCGTGGCTGCCACCCTTTCCTAGGCGGGAGCAGGACTGCGCAGGCTCAGTCTCGCGGCCGCCCCCGGCGGGCCTTTGATCCCTGCAGCGGTACCGTCGCTGGAGCTCTGCTTGCACTGAGCCCACAGCATTTATGACCTCTGCAAGTGTACAAAGATGACAGGCGCGGGTGGTTTGGGGGAAAGCCCAGGAAAACGGTGGATCGCGATCACACCAGGGGGCAGCTTAGGAGCTGCTGGAAAGTAGAAATTGACTAGGCCTAAGAGAACTCACCCCAAATTCACATAGTGCCCGGGATGTGTGTTCGCCTCACATCATTTTTGTTCCCACTTGAGAAGGCTTCTTTCCCCTAGAGAATGCCGCTTTTCTCCGGGCTCAGGCAAGCCCAGGTACCAGTGAGGCTAGAGCGCAGCCTGGCTGGCTTGCCCTGACATTGCAGTGGCGCCAGCTGCAGATCCTTTCTGTTTGTGACACCTTGGGAGTGGTAATAGTCGCCCTATGACAAAGTTACGTGTGAGTATTAGTGGGTGGAGACAGTTCTGGGATCAGGCTCTGGAATGGAGAGAACGCAATCTGGGCCTCCTCCATTTCTTCTCTCCCCCAATCAAACTGCAGGAACAGTGAAGGGCTCGTGTGTGAAGGGCTCTGAGAAAAGAACATTTTTCTTCAAAGTCAGAACGTAGTGACCAGAGAAACTGTTGGGGGAAATCAGCAATTTGCTGCCTTTCAGCTTTTACTGTTGTGATCAGAAGCCTGGATATTGTGTTCTGGATCTGGGACCTGGCCAATGGGTCTCTTAACAATGCTGAATGCTCAGGACCAAAACCGCTGATTTTATTTATCATTACTTCGTGTCCAGAGTAACTGGCAAGGGACTTTGCTCGCTGTAGATTATTAAGATCCCTAAGATGCTGAGGCGAACTTTTTGTTTTTCTTAAAGACAGGGTCTCACTTTGGCTGCCTGGAACTTGCCTTGTAGACCAGGCTGGCCTTGAACTTATTTTGTTCCACCTGCTTGTGAGTGCTGGAATTAAAAGGCATGTGCCACCATGCCTACCCAAGCCTTACCGTATGAAGACCCTACCGTGTCACCGTGAAGTTTGTTGCACCCCCCCAACAATGTGAAATAAGCATGAAGAATTGTTCCTAAATTCTGCAACGCTCTTCCCCAAATGGATGCATATTAACTTATATAACAATTCATTGGTCAAATTAAGTCATAAAGCTGCACCCCATTTCATGGGACAGATAATGTGGAAGATGACAGGAGGCAGAAATAACTTGAGGAAAAAGTTAGGAATTTGCATTGAATCTTGAATCGCTCAGAAGCTGGAGTTTGTCCATTAGTGGTTATGACCATTTCTACTTTAGTTCAGTGAACTTCCATGTGAAATTCTTAGTGGGAGAAAAACACAAGACTGGGTGTCAGGAAACCTAGGTTTTGATTTCTGTTGCTTGGGCACATAAACTCAGTCCGAACTATACTTCGTCACGTAGCCATTATTTCTTTTATTTATCATCTTATTTCCCCTGTTTAACTTGCTGAATTGTAAGAGTCACACAAGGAAAATTAAAATTATGAGGCATCTGAGGGGTAGAAAATAAATTGTTTAAGAAGGCAGTTAATGGTGTGAAAGAGAACAGGGCTGGCGGGGCCTCTGTGCGAATGTCTGCACTCCACCAGCTATTGCTGCTTGCGGCGTGACCTGGTGCCATGGTTTCCACTTTTTAATAGAAGTCAGAAATTTCAGACACTCTGAGGTTAAAACATTAATAATGATTTTTTTTTAATTCAAGGGTCAGATTCAGCCTATAGTTCTGTAGATGTAAATGTCAGTTTCTGCGTTATGTGAATATATTGCACAAATTTGGGTGGAATCACACAGGAGGATCACTGTGAGTTCAAGGCCAGCCTGGTCTACAGAGCTAGTTCTAGGACAGCCAGGGCCATCCAGGGAAACCTCGTCTTGAAAAAAACAAACAAAAAAACTAGAATTCTGGTTTGAGTATGTACAATATGGTTTGTGTGGCCCTTGTGAAATCTGGCTGTGTTGGAGGGATTAAACATGAGTTACCCCTCTAGACATCGCTTTCCAGGAAAGGGTCATTTTGCCTGCTGGGGATATTTTGCAATACCGGAAGAGTTTTTTGATGGTCAGCTAGGGGTGGGGGTGGTAAGGGAATGGGAGTGAAGGGTTCATTAGCATATAAATCGGGAGACTGCCTCCCGTGCGCCTCCTCGGTCCGTTACCTTTAGCCTGCTGCAAGCCAACACGGAGGCTTCTGTGCTTCTCATGAGTGGCCAGAGCCCCTGGCTGCTCTAGAACAGCATTCTGCATCGCTACCGTGCTCCTAGTGACCGCTTCGTCTGTCCCAATCTGCACCAATCTGGCAGCCTCTATGGAGGTCACCCGTTTTATTTGAATAAGAACTTAACAAAAAGAGATTGTGACAAGGCTCCTGCTGACGTCAGTTTTTAAAGGTCACGACCCCCCTATTCTCTTGGTTTTTACCCATTGAAGAGACAGTTCACGTTAGGTGGCTTCCTATGCAGCTTAGGCCAGGGAGAGCTGGGGCGGGGAGAAACCTGTTCTGATTAATCGTACTCTCATTTCTTTGAAATTCAGTCGTTTATTCTGACTGAATACAACTGACGATATTTCCCAAGTGAATTCTCTTCCGTTCCTCGGCCTGTTTTTTGGCTCAGGTTTCAAGGCCCAGGCTGGGTCCTCTGCTGCCACCTCGTGGCCCCTTGTTGCCGGGGTTGAGGTCTCACCAAGTGTCTTCCTCCTAGAAAAGGCACTAGAAAGTGGCATTGTTGGGGGCGAAGAATCTCCTCTCCACTTGGTGAAGCCTCGCCAGACTTCCCCATCCCCGCCCCCGATCGCTTGCGTCATTGGGCATCCGGGAAACCTGGCCTCCATTGGGGGCGGGGGAGGGGGGAGGGAGTGGAGTAGAGGCGGTGCAGGAGGCGCTAGACCCCATTAGGCCTCCAGTTTTTTATATATTCCTGGCCAGGAGAACCCAGAGCAGTAAACTCCGGTGCCCAGGAGCAACGGGAGGTAGACCTGCCGTATGTTTGGCCTGATTCATGTGCCTAGAACTGGAATTCTCTTCTCAGTGATCGCAGCCATGTGGTGTCTGGTGCCATTTTCTTGTCTAGGCCTGCCTACTGTTGCTTTATACCTATGTCCTTTATCTGGGCTGGCCCAGCTACTGCAGATTCTGCATCCAGTTGATGCTGAGCAGGGTGGCGGTGCTGTGGTCCCATGGCGGCCGTTAACACAAAAGGATCTCCGCAGAGGTGATTAAGGTCTGTCACCGGGAGACTGGGAGACTGCCCTTAGCTGGACTGCAGGACAGCTGTGCAGTGACTCCGTTTCTGAAAGTGGGAAGGCGTTTTCAGTTGGTATTGTTTTTTGTTTTCATTAGCAGTGTTCATACAGCAAGTATGGTTTAAAAACCAGTTGCTGGGGCTGTAGCTGGAACTCAGGGATTAGGGGTGTTCATTGCTCTTTAAGAGGACCTAGGTTCAGTTGCCTGTACACACACGAGGTGGCTTACTCCTGCCTGTAACTTTGATTCCAGGGGAGCTAATGCCCTCTTTTGTTTTCCGCAGTCACTTCATGCACATGGTACACACGTACTCTGGCAGGCTCATACACATATACATAAATGAAAAACTTGGAAAAAAAAAAAAAAAAAGAAAGAAAGAAAGAAAGAAGTTACTAACACAAAATCAGAACTGTTCTCGGTTGGCTCCTCTTACTGCCCATCCCTCATAACTCCTAAATTCAGCCTTATACTAAAACACCTAAGTGTGGCAGTACAGGCCTGAAATCCCAGTACTCAGGAGCCTAAGATGTTCAAACCCAACAGAAGAAGAGTGTACACAGGTACCTGTTTAACCTGTTTACTCCTTATAATTGAGAGGAAAGGGCCCACTGGTATAATTTCCTAGGCCTTAGGCAAGAAACAGCCATCGCTGGACATAATTTATGATGAACGTTTTCTCTGTTGTCCCACTATTTAATAACATAGAGGCTGGGCAGTGGTGGCCCACGCCTTTAATCCCAGCACTCTGGAGGCAGAGGCAGGCCAAGTTTGGAACTCTGAGTTTGAGGCCAACCTGGTCTATAAAGCAAGTTCCAGGGCAGCCAGGGCTTTACAGAGAAACTGTGTCTTGAAACAACAAAACGAAGCAAAAGGGCTCAGTGGTTAAGAGCACTGGCTGTTCTTCTGAAAGGTCCTGAGTTCAATTCTTAGCAATTACATGGTGGCTCACAACCATCTATAGTGAAATCTGGTGCCCTCTTCTGGCTTACAGGCATACATGCAGGCAGAATACTGTTTAAATAATAAATCTTTGAGGGAAAAAAAAACAACGAAAAACACGTTTAAAACATAGTAATAGCCAGGTGTGGTGGCACATGCCTTTAGGGAGGCACTGGGAGGCACAAGCAGGCAGATCTCTGTGAGTTTGAGGCCAGCCTGGTCAACAAAGCAGGTTCCAGGTCAGCCAGGGCTGTTACACTGAGA